TGAACCATACAGTTGTGTCATGAAATGAAATGAAATGATAATCATTTTACATCTACCAAAAGCAAAGTGGGGAAATAATAGTAAACTGGCAATCCTTGGATGCCCTGAGATTTCATTCTAGGTATACTTTTCATATGTGTGGGCCATCCATAACCATTAAATATTGTATCTATGTAATGCACATTGCCTGTTTCTCACTACAATACACTTGTCCCCCTCCCTAACTTCAGTTATATGAACACATTTAAGAGTTGTTTCTTTCAGTTTATTAGTTGTAACTTTTAACTTCTAGTTTTAGTTTAATTAGAAATAATATGTTGCTTGTAATTTATGATGAAATAACTTGAGTTTATTTCAGTTTATTTGATGTCACATAAGTTCATATTAAAAAGTTATTTAGGGCATGCTTCTCAACTTTCAGCTCTTGTAGGAAGTTGTTTTCATTTGAAAAAATTCTTTTATTTTTCTTGAATATTATTGAAAGTTATGATCTATACAATCTGTTAAGTTATTATAGTGTTTAGTGTTGCTTATAGCTTGTTTCATTGGTTTATTTTTATTTTTATGCTGTGAATCCATGTCAAGACTGTTTGATAATAATTTTGTTTATAGCTTATGTGTAACTTAAATAATTTTTTAAAAAATAATTATTTGATATATGGAGAAAGAGTCTCTTTAACTATTTTTTTATTAGCAATTTTCAGTAGTTACACCAAATAAATGGGCATTTAATCTCTTGCCTATATCAAGAATTCTCTGTTTTAAAATATTTTTGTTTGTCTTGATATATTAAAAGAAAAAAAATTTATGGACCATGAAAACAAAACCAAAAAAATGTCCAAAATGTCAAATTTATGGTGTAAAATCAAAGTTGTATGCGTGAGACCATATCATCTATGAATGTGGACATTTGATTTCAAATTTTGGATAATTTTTGCTTCTTTTTGTCTGGTTCATAGAATTATTCATATTAAAATTGCAATATGCTATGGCATCTCGAAACATATAATTGCAATAATTGCAAGTATACACTGCCTAATAACATTTCTTTTCCTAGTGTCTCGAGCTCTTTACAGTTCAGTGATTTCTGATTGACTTTCTTACTATTCATACTATTCACTTTTTTCTTTTCTTTTCTTTTTGCTCTGTTTTTCAGTGCCAGAAGAAAGGGTGCCTGAAACCTTAGTTGACTTTTTGCTTTCTTGTTGGAAAAGAAATAATATTTATCAATCCACTCATACTGTGATTACTAAATTGCCCAAGTTAGTTTGAAGAGGCCTTAGGGTTTATTTTGGAAAGTTCTGCATATATATATATATATATAAAATGGGTGTTTGAAAAGTGAGTTTTTTTTTTAGGTTTTTTTAGTTGTAGGATATTATTGGAGAATTTTTTTTTTGTGTTTGATAAGATAGTTAAATTTTTTTATGGTTGATGTGATGTTTGTGAGAGAAAAAATGAAATGATTATGGGATTTGATGTGATATTTTGTTTAGGTTTTTTTTTTTTAGTTTTGTAACCAATTTGTCTTTTAATGAAAAAAAACAAAAAAAAAACCTAAAACATTTGTTCCCAAACATCGCCAAAGTTTGTAATGTGTGGTGGTTGCTACTACAGAGAGAGTTACTCAGAGAGAGAGAGAGAGAGAGCCGTGGATGGTTGGAAGCCTACCCTTTTTGTTCCTATGAATATGTGGAAGACCCTAGTTGTTCTTCACTAAAAAGTAAATTTTGAAACATGTAGGTTTGTGTGTTTGGATGGTGAGAATTTATAGTAGAAAAAAAGAAAAAAAAATTTATTGACATTTTTCCCCTTAAATTTTGAGTAGGCTGGTTGGTGCTTAAGTTGGATGGATGTAATTGAAGTATTTGATGCTTATTCTTCCATCTAAAGAAAAGAAAATACATGAAAAATCTAGTTCTCTTTCCTCTCTCTCTCTCTCTACCAGCCCTCGAACCCCTGACCTACCTAAGGCTTTATCAACTTATGATTTAGCCAAACAGATTCAAGGAGGGCCAGTAGAGAGAGGGAGGGAGAGAGAGAGAAAAGAGAAATGAGGTGTAGGTAAAATCCCTTGACCAGTGTGATGAATAGGAACAGACTGTCCATTACCAACAGTAATACGATCAGTACCTGGATAGTCTTGATAGAGATCGAAATTGTTAGTCTACTGCTATGAATTGTTCTGAATGTTGCATTGCTAAAAGCCATAGATTGCCATTTCAATTGTCAAATTCAACTGTCAAACAACCTCTGTCTTTAATTCATAGCGATGTTTGGGGTCCGTTTAATAAATCTACATCTGGCTTCAAGTTTTATGTAATTTTTGTTGATGATTTTAGCCGCTTTACTTGGCTCTATCCTTTAGCTTACAAAAGTGAGGTCTTTGCTAAATTTGTTGAATTCAAGTCTTATGTTGAAAAGCAATTTTCTACTTTTCTTCAAGTTCTTCGCACTGATGGTGGTACCGAATATTTCAATAATAAAATGCAAGCTTTTCTCTTACATCATGGGATTGTTCATCAACATTCCTGTCCTTACACCTCCGCTCAGAATGGTGTGGCTGAGCGCAAGCATAGACACATTATTGAAACTACCATTGCTTTGATTCATCATGCTTCTCTTCCATTACATTTTTGGTTTGATGCAGTTGCTACGGCTACTTTCCTTATCAATAGAATGCCTTCCTCTATTATTGCTAATAAATCTCCCTATGAAGTGTTGTTTCATGCTATTCCCGATTATTCTTTCTTTAGAGTATTTGGCTGTCAATGTTTTCCTTGGCTTCAACCATATAGTTCATCTAAACTTCATCCTAAATCTGTGTCTTGTGTTTTTTTGGGATATCATCCATTTGCTAAGGGATATCACTGTTTTGATCCTAAATCTGGTAAACTTTACTTGTCTCGCCATGTGATTTTTCATGAGCATATTTTTCCTTTCTCTATGAATTCTATTTCTTCTTCTTGTCCTGCTTTATCTCAATCTTCCTCCTTGCCAGATATTCAGACTTTCTTTTGGGCGTCTTCACATGTTCCTCAGTCTTCTTGTGCACCAACTACAGCTTCCTCTTCCCAGCATTCTCCTCAGTCTTCACTTCCCGTGCTGCCATGTACTGCTGCTCTAACTCCATCTGAGTTTCCATCTTCTTCTTCTTCTCGGTTACCTCAAATCCCAGTTCCAGCTACGGGTTTACCTACTGCTGTCTTGCCTTCTACTACTGTCTTGCAAATCAACCAAAAAAATACTGTTAAAAAAACGTAATTAATCAAAAATAAATTTGCCAAGCTTGTCTTGTCGGATTTGTTTGTCAGTTGCATCATTGGTTGCATTTGATTTGTATGAATGTATCATGGAAATAGAATTAAATAATTATAATTCACCATCAGAAATTACTCACTATTAAACTGCACGGTAAGAGAGATCTTTTATTTTTATTTTTTATCTTAAAATATTTACAATTATTAAATTATATCTTTTTATATTATAAATTTTTTATATAATTTAATAAAAAAATGAATTGTAATTGTAAAATTATGGATTACATATAGTTAAGCTTTATCAAATCAGCTACATAGACTATGGTCATTATCTATAGCTTCTATAATACCATCTATCTTCCTTCAGCATTGTCTTTGATAATATCAATGACGGTATGAGGAAAATCAATTGGCTGTAAAATAATATCAATTACTTCAAGGTCAATCTTCGTAAGATAATCGGCAGTTCTATTAGTTTCACGCCACGTATGAGAAACTATGCAATTGTCAAATTTGTTTAGGATCTCCTAAATTCGAACCAAACCGTACTTCACCCTTTGATTATGAGATTGTTGTTCTCCATTAATTATTTTAACTGCACTAAGAGAGTCAAATTCAATCCATATGGATTTAATGCCGAGTTCTAAGGCGAATTTAAGACCTCCCCATATTGTCCATGACCCAACGACAAAAATATTATGAACATCTTGAGGATGAAGAACTTTAGACGCATAAGCACATATTGAATCACCCTTATAGTCATGAAAAATCCCTCCAAAACTAGCCTTAAGATTATTTCTACCACTCTTAATAGATCCATATCCGCATTCAGTTTCGTCCAACTATATTCTAGTTTCTTCCATATGCATCGTTGAATCGGTTGCGAAACATGTTTAGAAAGGTGGATATCTTCAAGGTAGTGGAGGACGATCAACAACAATTCTTCATTCGAGCATATTGATAATGACTTGGGTAATAAACACAAAGTACTGCATACCAATCTCATTTTATTCATCTTAGGGATCAACCCCGATCACACTTACACACACAAAAAAAAAAAAAAAAAAAAAAAAAAAAAAAAAAAAAAAAACCACACCCCAAATGAGACCATAGTATAATTAAAGAATTTTTGCATTGCTCAATATTATAATGAGTCATAATTAATACAAAAAAATATATAAATAAGTCAAAATCAAATGATTATTACCACCTTAATAGATTATAATTAAATATTACAAAAAAGGATATGATACATAAAATTTTAGAAAAATTACACACCTCAGTCCCATCTTTCAAAAATAATTACAGGTTGATGGAAAAATTTAACACTTTAATAATTAAAATTCATAACATTTATCACTGATTTGAATTTTTTTTTTTTAAATTCACACTGAATTATTATTTTTCCAAGGAAAATATATATTGTAAAAACGGTATAATATTGGGAGAAAGTCCCAAGAAAAAATATATTTGTAAAGTGTAAAGCCAAACAGAAGCTTACAACCTCGAAGTAGATAAAAAGTCCATCAGTCTCCTTCACCCGTACGTGCACTCATTTATAAAAACAAAATAAAAACTTACATTAACAGCACTGCACAGCCAAAAATCAAAACAAAAACAAAAATTAAAAAAAAAAACAAAAATGAATTAAAAGGTAGTTAATATCTCACGCCAGAACGCATCAAGAGACCAGAGAGAGAGAGAGAGAGAGAGAGAGAGATGAAGATTTTAGCAAAACCCATGTCGAGTCCGAGCAGGACAGACAAGTTTCCACCGCCATTGATGAGGTTTCTGAGAAGCAATGTTGGAAGCAAAAGCAGAGGCAAGTCTCGCTCGAGCCCAATGTTCATGCGCAGGAAGAACTACACCACCACCACATCAATGATAGAAACGACCCAAGAACCATCTTCCCCCAAAGTCACTTGCATCGGCCAAGTTCGAGTCCGCCGCTCCTCCAAAAAATCCTCCTCCGGCTGTGGGGGCGGAAGGAGGCGTCGCACCACTGGAGCTCCGGCCAGAAACCCCTGTTCTTGTTGGCGGGTCAGAAAGACTCCGTTCTCACACCATTTCGCAAAAAGATTTAGACCCAAATCGTTGTGTCCTGTTTGGAGCAAGTGTTTATGGTTTTTCCGATTTGGGTTTTGTAGGAAAGTTGAAATTAGAGACGATTCGTCGAAAATGGAAACGAACGGGAAAGAAAAGTACAAAGAAAATGAGACAGAAGATGAGGAAGATGAAGCTCAAGAAGAAGAACTATCAAGAGAGGCTTTCAATTCTTCTTTACCACCCAAGAATGCTTTGCTTTTAACTAGATGTAGATCTGCTCCAAACAGATCTTCATCACTGGTCAGCAGATTTCTGGGTTCGCCATTGGGGACCTCAGAAACAGAGGTCGACAATGGAGAAAACAGAGAACTGGAGAGACCCACATCGGAGTGCAAACTCAATTGCAGAGATTCAACTTCAGAATCGAAGATGGATCAACAAAACGAAACAAATTTGGGAGATTCCAGAGAATTTGAAGGTTCAATTTCTGGAAAAAACAGAGAAATTAGTGATCAAGAATCAGAAACAGGGGGAGAAGGAGACAATGCTCGCCCTCTGATACTCACTAGGTGTAAATCTGAGCCAGCAAGAACAGGAGAGAGGCTCAATCCAGAGGCAAGTCTCTGGAGGCAGACAAGGTTGGGTTTAATCAATTAGTTTAAATCAAAATTACCTAAACTTCTATCATTTTTTCATATGAATATATATAAATGTCTAGTTTTGTTAATCACTCTTTTTTTTGGTTTTTTTTAGAGGGAATCTCTGAGTTCTATGGAAAATGATATAATAACATATTGTTATTGAAATAATGGCATTTAAAGTTTTTTGAGGAAAACAATGAAATTGTTTCAAGTGTATTTATTTTATTTTATTTCAAGGACTCTGCCGCAGAGCTCTTCATGGGCATCTTCTTACTGTCTGTCTTTGCTGTAATTAGTAGTATAGAATTCAACTGTTGACTCACTGGAATTGTTTTCAGTGTTTTTGGTTTTTGGTTTCTGCTTTTGCTTTTTAAAGTTTTGATTTTGGAGGATATGGTTAGACTTCTCAAGACAGTTTTTGGGTTAGGATTTTTTTATTTTATTTTTTATATTGTTATTAAATTTCATCACCTTTGGATGCTCTGACCATTTTAATTATTTTCTTGTGTATCAGACTTCAATATAGTAATAATACCTTCAGAGGTGGTCCACTTATCCTCATGAGCTGAGCTGACCCGACCCTTTTTCTGCTCTCTTTGTGTTGTTGAATAGCTTTGACAATTTTTTTCTTGAGAATTTTGAAGGGCATGATGTATAATTTTCTGAACTTGACTCGAGTTTAACCGAGTTAAGTTAATGAATGTTTTTAAGATTAGGTTTCGTTTGACATGTCAGATAAGTTGGTTTATAAGTGTATTTTGCTAACAATAAAGTGGTTTTGAATTAATGAATTTTTTGATAAAATGCTAACTTTAGTCACTGAGAAAATGTGTGGAAATAAAAACTCCCTATATGGTAAAAAAAAAATTAAACCACCTTATTTATTTTGGTTGAAAATATTTTTCAACATAAAACTTTTTTACACAAATAAAATTTTCTTATATTTGATAGCGTCCTTAAAACTAATATACTAGTTGTTGTATTAGAGGTAATAAATTGGTCATGGTGGAAGGGTGAAAGTGGTGGTGGAAATCACAACTCTTACTTTTCTAGCAGTCTTCACAGGTGCCAGTCAATTTTTCATCCGATACCTTGTTTCTTGCATGTCTACTAATTTATTTAAGGGTATGTTTAGACTTTAACTTTGTGACAAATAAAAAAAAGAAAAGAAATGAAAAATGAAGTTGAAACTATTTTTTTGTTCTCTTTTACATTCCAAACAAACCCTAAAAGAATGATTGTCGAACAAGCTTCTTTTTTTAGCAAAGTCCTAGTTTTAGCTAAAGTTCACATGGTGATCTTACCACTTTATCCTTTCCAAACAGGTTAAAAATAGGTTTGTTAGTTTCATCAAATTGATTTTTTGGTTTTCAATCAATCTCCCACCTACAGCACACCCAAATCAATATATATATATATATATTGAATCTTGGGTTTTAAAAACAAGTCTAATTGTATCCAAATTGAATTGGGTCTCCTCAAATATCATATATATAAATATATTATACTAAACCAAGCCAAATTAAAACTCTTTTAATAAACCAATTGGGTCCCACACTCCAATAAGGAGGTATACCCAACACCTATATGGTAAAAAAAATATTAAACCACCTTATTTATTTTGGTTGAAAATATTTTTCAACATAAAACTTTTTTACAAAAATAAAATTTTCTTATATTTGATAGCGTCCTTAAAACTAATATACTAGTAGTTGTATTAGAGGTAATAAATTGGTCATGGTGGAAGGGTGAAAGTGGTGGTGGAAATCACCACTCTTACTTTTCTAGCAGTCTTCACAGGTGCCAGTCAATTTTTCATCCGATACCTTGTTTCTTGCATGTCTACTAATTTATTTAAGGGTATGTTTAGACTTTAACTTTGTGACAAATAAAAAAAAGAAAAGAAATGAAAAATGAAGTTGAAACTATTTTTTTGTTCTCTTTTACATTCCAAACAAACCCTAAAAGAATGATTGTCGAACAAGCTTCTTTTTTTAGCAAAGTCCTAGTTTTAGCTAAAGTTCACATGGTGATCTTACCACTTTATCCTTTCCAAACAGGTTAAAAATGCGTTTGTTAGTTTCATCAAATTGATTAAGCTATTTTTCATTTCTAATCTCCAAAAGCCACAAAACAAATCTCTCTTTAGTGTTTGTTGCTCTTTACCTTTCAAAAGTCACTAATTTAGGTCTATATTCTGACTCTTTCTGTCCAACTCAAGAAAAGTAAAATAAAGATCTATGAAATGGAAGTGTGAAGCATAGTCCAAAGCACATGGAAAGTAATTTATGCGCAAAGTGCAACAGCTTAAAAGCATTGACAAACACACAAATAGTGTGAATATGCACCAAGGGGTTCACTTTTAGGAGAAGTATCAGTATTACTCTAATTCATGGCCATTTCATGATGAAAAAAATGATTTTGACAAATGTCATTCTTCTAATACATTATGATTTACTCGTTTGGTTACAGTATTAAGAAGCGGGAATAAAGCTGAAAAGCAAGTGGAATTTACCCTTTTATTCCATTGCCCATTTTTTGCTTTGTAAAAGCTTCTACCTATCCCTCAAATGCGGGATTATTTAGGCCATGTTTGTTTGGACGGACTGGATTAACATTCTCATGACTAATAGTCCTAGGACTACGAATCCGTTGGATTATGTATTCTATCTTAACTAATAGTCAAGTTTAAAATAATTAGTCCATACTTCAATTGTTTAACCAAATATCGGATTAATAATTTTATTGGACTATTAGTCAAATCCCAAGCTCATGTCCACCCAAATAAACATGGCCTTAATGGATAACTAATCCCACCTCCACCATGGGATAAGTTAATTCATTTTCTCCGAACTATTTATCTCTCCTCACCAAACGGTAAAAAGTAACCCTTCCCTCTTTCAGTACTATATCCCACCTTAACTAAACATAGCACAAATAAGAGTGTTTGGAATAAAAGTTGGGTTAAAATAACTTACTAAAAAATAAAATAGGCTAAAATAATTAATAAAACAAAATATCACAGTCAATCCATAATCATTTTACTTTTTTTTTCCACAACCATTAAAATAATTATGTTTGAGAAGTTGATTGATTTTTTTTTTTATAGTTGATTTGATAGTTATGAAAGAAAAAGTGAAATGATTATAGATTGATGGTGACATTTTATTTTATTAATTATTTTAATCTATTTTATCTTTTAATGTATTATTTTAGTCCAACTCTCCTTCTAAATACCCCAAGGCTTAGTTTTCTCTTTTATCTCATTTACATCTCTTATCCACTCTTATCCAAGGTATTCAATCTCCCATAAAAATAAGTTAGAATAGTAAGTTTACATGTACAAAATTAAACCACCCAAAAAAGAAAAAAAAAAAAAAATTTAGTATCTTCGTGTCAACACAATGAGGCCCACCTTGATAACTAAATATAAGTGAACAAGAATATCTCTAATAGGTCCCATCGTGCCAACATGTACATTTTAGGAGGTTAACCAACGGCTCACTTCTCATGGAGCAAGTTTGATTAGATTGTGCTTTATGAAAGTACGATTTTTACACAATACATGACCTGTAATTTAGCAGGGGTGTAAATTGTGATCTGCTAAAGTTCAATCAATTTCCTATTACCTTCAACATTCACAATCAATAGCCATGAACGAGCAATTAATAGTTACTCAACATTTGATCATTGACCGCTATTGGGACCATCAGCACACCTCACATAAGTGATGTTATTAGAGTATCTTCAACATTATATCCTTTTTTTATTATTAAATTTGAATAAAAATTTCATCTGATATCACGTGCTCTAACGGACTTTCATCAAAATACCGGTCAACCAGGAAGATGTTTGGTCAGTCAACCGGTTAGTATAATCTTTTCACAAATTTTTACAAAAAGGTGGTCATCTGACTGAACATCTGTCAAGACGTCCGACTAATTGTCCGGTGATGCAAAACTAATGGCTGTAAATAGTGAAATGATGAAAGGTTTCAGGCGTAATCAATTTGGTGAAAAATTTATGATATCTTGTATTTGATACTCATATGATGAAATCATTGAAACAAGAAAAATGATGGTTTTTTTTATCAAATTTGATGATAAGATAGAGATGGTCTTATGGTTCGATTGACTACTCGCATGTGTAGTTCTTTCGGCGCTTTTATCTGCACTCGTCAATAATTGAGTGTTGATCATTGCTTTGGCTGAAAGGATGTAATAACTAATAAACATGTATCATGGAACATTTGAATTTTGTGGTCCTGCAGCAACAAAAGAAAAGAGGTCATCTCTCTATCATTCAATGCAGGTTGTGATTTAACACTACGATAACATGGAAACATCCTATAGTTTCATGGGACTAAATATCGAAACACTTGGTGTTGTTTCAAGGTTTCTTGCGAAAAAAAGAAGCAAACAAACTGAGGGGAGAGAGAGAGAGAGAGGCACAGAATATTATCGATAATACAAGGATGCAATCCTCAAGATTAATAGAAATGGAACTGGAAATATACCCTTCCCAAGATGTTATTTAAAGGCGGGACCCACACAAAATGTGTAGAGCTAACTGGGTTTGGCCATCGGCAGTGAATAATTGCTCCAAGTATTTGTGTCGTGATTCTATCCATCAATGTTTCACACAGTATTAAAGGGAATTGGGATAAACAAAAACTAAAGAAATCTACGATAAGAAATGGCAACGGGTCGGGGTGGAGTCGGAGACTACACTCTCCGTTCCCGATCCCTGAAGATTAAAATATCCCAGCCCCCGATCCCCGGAGGGGGAACCCATCACCCTCTCGTGTCCATCCTCTAACAGGGATCAAGTTCCCCCGACCCCGACAAATCCCCGAGATTAATCAATATATATCACAAATTAACAAATCAATTTTGTTCAATTATTTCAATCATCATCATCAATCATCATTAACAATACAGATCTAACATATTTAAATTAAATTTGAGTAACAGATCAGAGGTTTAACACTCATCATCAACAATACAGATCTAACAA